AAATGGACAGGTTAACATATTTCTCTAATTTTACTTAAAGAGTAGGTATTAATTTATACAGAATTACACTGTCATTCTGGATCATTTTTTGCAAAATGATAACTTGCCCATTATTGTGACACAACATTTCCTAGGGACAAATGTCATTAATAAATTCTTAAGCGGTTTCGTTAGTTGAAAAAAAGTGAAGCAAAAATAAAATCTTGTAAGTAAAATTAAAGGTTTGCATGGTACTCTTAAAATCTGCAGAGGAAGTCTACATTGGTAAAGCCACAGTGGTAAACCTGGCTTTTTGAAACCAGCTGCGTTTTGTCTGAATGGACTTGTTGCTTTTTATACAGGAAATGGGTTGGACTGTGGCTAGTTGAATAGTTCCACTTACTCACACAGCACTGTCTTTAGGGGTATGTGATGGGGAATATCACAGTCCAGCAGATGTCCACCTGCAAATTAAACAGCAGTGACCTTATAATTTTCTATGTGGGGAGTGACTAATAGCCTTTAAAAACATTTTTGTTTTTGCCCAGCGAAGCATTTTTCACCATATATACTTCAAAGTTAAGACACAGTTTTTCAGGGCTGTATGTGAATGATTTGTAATCCAGATTGTAAATCTTTGCTGTGATGGCTAATTTTTCACCTCAGTTGTACATGCAACTGAAAAATTCAAGAAATGTACAGCACAGTTTGTATGAACTGCTTTTTTTAAATATTTGAAACAAAATATGCCAACAACAGGAACACTTTCTATTTTGTTGCCTGCTCTTTTTTTCTAAATGTAATTTTCATTTTGTTCTCTTGCTGCTGTTTTGGTTTGCCCAACATTGCACAGCTTCCAGAGAGGAAGAAAACAAACTGAAAATAAAAAGGACTGGTAATTTCTGGCTCCCCTGCTGTTTATTTGCATCAAACACATGAAACCCAACGCAATGTGCGTTCTCTATTTTTTAAGCACCAAAGACACTGCTGCACCAGTAGGGCTGGTTGAAGACATTTAAGAGTCACACAAAGAGAGCATGGTTGCTTGGGAATGCTCCCCAGAGCTTTATCTCCAGTACATTGCCCAACTAAATCAAGCCTATTGAACAGCTTCCTGGACTGTATAGGATCATCATTGTGGTCCAGTCATGCGTTTAGGGCTCGTTTGGTAATTGTTGCAGTTTCCAACCACTTCTCAAAGAATGTGGCATTCCTTGCAATACCCTTTTCCTTTCACCCTGTCTAGCAGACACTAGCTGCTCCAACTGCTGCTGTTTCAGCTTGTAGTGGGCTAACACTGTCAGTATGCTGCAATGTTTGATGGAACACTAAGTTACAGAGAACGCACAACCAGGTCAACTTTCGTCATGGATAAATCCTTAAGAATGATTTTTCCCCTAACAATTTTGAAAAGGCATGACACAGCGGGACATTGACATGTCGGAGAACTGCACAGCATATGCTGCTGGTCGTGAAAAGGGGATTAGTCATACATCGATCAGTGTGAATATTTGCACTATACCCCCGTCAATAATGAAGCACGTGGAAACTTCCAGGCAAGCGTTTCCTGTGAATTCTTGCTTTTTCAAACAGATGGATCCCTGAAAAAAGTGAATGTATGTGGTGTACGATAAGCAAAAACATCAGATTGTTCCTTACAGAATTCTTTAATGTAGCGAGGGTCCACTAATGCTTGTGCAATCTTTAATTCCTGTTAGATCTCCACTAGAGATGATGAGGTTCTCTCCGGATTTCATGACCTAAAAAGTGCTCCATCTCAATCAAATTTACTAAGTTGCTTTTTCATTTCTGAAATGCAAACAGGATATCATAACTGCACAATCAAAATGTTTGATATGTGATCTATTACAACAAAGGACGAAATGTCTTGTGAAGCTGATCTAGTGGCTACAACAAGGTTGCCATCGAGTGTAAGTATCTTGATTGTTAGCTTTGTGTTTAAGGGACACAGGGGGATTTGAAACTTTACCTTTAGGAAACTACAGGGGCTAAGAAAGAATAGACACAGGGAGGCTGAACATCTTCAAACAAGAAGACCCTTTGATATCTGTTTGCATTCCTCAGCTCTGCTGAAAGGCAAGCTGAGGAACAGGATTGGAGGATCCCTTACAATGAAACAAAGTAGCAAAACAAACACGTTTCTTTTCAAATCTGAAGATGAGCAGAGAAGCAGTCTGAAGGGATGCCCTCAAAAATTGTTTCATGAAGCATTTTGATGTCTGAATGCAAGGTGCTGGCATGCTCAATTTAAACACCATTCATCTTCATAATGATAATGATGGCTTTCTTTAAATTATTCTGATTAAAGGTCATCCCTCAGCAAAGGTTAATCAACATTGGAAAGTACTAGAAATCTCAAGGAAAAAAAAGAAAATGAACTTTTTAAAGAAAAGCAAATTGAAAAAGAAAAGAAAGAAAATGTAACTTCTTTGAAACACACTGCATATTTTGCAGAGCTGTTAACACTTCCACACTTAAAGGTGCTCAGAACGGTGTATTGTTTCAGCATGCATTCATATCCAACTTATTATTGCATTTCAGATTCTCTTGATAAATGAACAGGAGAATGACATTATTGTTTTTGTTAGATTGACCTTATTATTAATGTCTTCCAATGCAAGCCTAGGATTAACTAGAGCTAACTGATAAAAGTGGTTATCCAGATGTAAATAAACAACGTTCATGAAAGTCATCTACACAGAATGTGTTTCTGAAACCAGTTTGAAAGATGGGCTGAAAGAAATGTAGTAGATTTGTCATGCATCTATTCTTAAAGCAGTTTTTCACTTTTAAACCATTCTAATTATATTTCCCCTTAAAAAGACCCTTTGCCGCACTGATCAGCAGTTACACAAGATCATCAAAAAAGCAGAGCAGATTATTCACCAAATAATGCTGTAGCCTAGTTTATCATCTTGATCCATTTCTCAAGTCATACACTTCAGGAAGGGTCACCAAAATCCACAGGAACCAAAGGGTGAGTGAAAATCTCACTGGTTAAAATGACTGAAGCCTTTAAGTAACATTTCTTTCTCTCCTCTGAAATGGTACTATAATATTAAATTAAATTGCCTGTACCACTTAGGTGTGTTTAACCAACTCATACTTGTCAAAGAAATGAGGAGTAAACACCCCATTTGCTGAACTGTTTGCTTTGGGAGCCTACATTTAACAAAAAACACCAGAGTGAGAGTTCCAGATAACGTATCAGATGAACACAGAAGATAAAGTTTCTCGGCCTCACTGATAGTATAAAATAAACGGCTTTGCAAAACAAAAGTCTTTGTTCACCTGCACCCGTGAGGATAGGAATAGGTTTGATTGATCTGCAATGATTTTGTCTCTAATAAATCTGGAAAAATAACTTGAAAATTGCCTATATCGGCTATTCTGATTTTCTCAAAAGAGATCACGCGTATTTCAGAGTCAGACAGAGGTTTTACTTGAAGGGAAATGGGCTTGAATTGAACTACGGTCACATGCTGCATTTATCACATTTGAAGAAGTGTGGATAATTGCTCTCACACCTGTTGTGTCACTCTCTTCAAAGTAATTACTACAATAAAGAAAACACTCAAAGCTGTCATGCATTCATATCCCAAACCTTTCTTGAAGAGCAGGTTTACTGGAAGGACCCAGAGTTAATATTTTACAAACTCACGTTCTTGGTGATTTCATGCTGCATTTATGAGTTAATGCTAGAAAAATGTAATCATATTTCACCAGGCAAAAATGCCTTGTTGATTAGTCAAAGAAGAGCATGTTAAGAGTTGTAAGGGGAGACATTACAAGAGGCGAAAGGATATTTATAAAAATAAATGGCCTTAATGCACGGAAAAAGGTTGAAACATCTGATTCCAATTTTGTAGAGTATAATTACTCTATCTTTGTGCAGAAAGCAGGGATAGGGGAACCGCTTGGAAAGAGAGGCTTATTTTTCACCTCATATGCATGTCTGTGCAAGGATCTGATTTTTATCTTGAAAATGAGATTTGGCTGTCTGTACTCAGTCTTTTAAGTCTGTCTCTTCTTGTATTTGAAGGTATGCGTTCTGCGTGCAGTATAAAAGCTCATTCATCTGCCATCTTCGAATCGGAGAGGGTGTCAAGTTTGTGTGCCGGTCGGGGTGTGTGCGTCTGTAGGGGGGGTCGCAGGGGGTATTTGTCTAAACCAGCATCTTAACTAAACTTTTCTTTTGAGAACAAAGCCAGGGTGTAATTACTGTTTTGCCAAGATGATCTGATGCAGAAATTGTCCTTGGATATTTTACGACTTCAAAACCTTTTGCAAGAAAAGAATTAGACTCAAGTCCTGAAGTGTAACTGGAGGAGGGAGGAACAGAGCTGTGCGCGGGGGCAGGAGCTCAATTTCCTTTAATAGCTGCCAGACCTCCGTTTTTTCTTCATTGTTATTCATCCACTAACTTCAAACATTACAGCACTTTACTGTACGAAACGTCTTGAAATCGACTGTGCCAGAAATGTTTTGATTAAGCCTTGTTTAAGTAGAGCCTTCATGTTTATTTACTGAGACTTTCCAGGGGCAGTCTACAGCATCTGCACCTGTCTGTAGTTTCATTTCTCTCCTGGTAAACAACCATTATCTGCGCTCTGCTGCCGTTCTGCGGAGAAACATGTCTGCCATACTGGCTGATTGGACATCCCTACAAAATAAAACAGCTCCTAGGAAGCATCCTAAAAGCATGTACTGTATAGGGGACATTAAGTAGTCTTGCATCATGTAGAAAGTCCATAACTGAAAATTAAGGTCTTTATCCCATATAAAACTAAAATAGCCCTCTACTTCATTTCCCCTTCTGTTGGAGAAAGCTTTTGGTTTTTTTTTTAAAAAAAGCAGCTTTGTGAGTCATTAATTTGATTCCCTTGTCCATTTCCTGGCAATCAGCTTTGAAATTTGAGTCTCTTAAAAAGCTATTTTTAATGGAATAGTTACTTACCATGGCAATAATCTATGAAAAAAAACACAAAGCCTCACAGTGCACATAAGAGATGAAATAACAGCGAAGCACAGATATACTCTTCTGCTTTCATACCATTGATTTAAGATTTACAGACAATGGGCAAGACTGCATGACAAGGAAAACAGATACATCATGAAAGCAGGATGGTTTCTTTAAAGGCATTTTTGCATCTTTTAAACGGGTGTCTGTCCATAAGCATCATGTTTATTCTCACTTTCACAGAATTACATTTTTTTTTAAGGATGGACTTCAGATAAGCACAAGAGTGGAGTAAATGCAATGTAACTTGCGAATTTGTGTTTGCATTCTCAGTGCAACAACAAAGCAACTAAATTCTCATTTGAAAAAAAAACACCAAATCGTGGCTGAAGACAGAGCTTCCAAGAGCAATTAGTGGCAAAGGACACCTACTGGAAGTCACCATCCGATTTCGCCTTTTTAATCTTGGTTTTGGACACGTGAACTCTTGACTATGCCCCTCGGTGAGGGAAAGCACACCGGAGCTAGGAGCAGTGGGGATTATCCCGAGAATTTGCCTTGTTCTTCCTCCGAGTCACGTGATCCGGAGACTGATCCCATTCATGCGCCATGCTTGGCAGCGCCGCCGAATGGAGTGCAAAAGTCCTCTCTTGTTGTTTTGTTTGCTTTCTCTACCATCTGTTTGGTGAGCTCCTTGACACCTGTACTGTTCCATCAGTCCCCGGCTCCCTTGTCACCGGCCAGCCTGTCCAGCGTCTTTGAGAGCACATTTGTGGCTGTCCCTCGGAGAGGCGTGGGGGGGGGGGCTGGTTCTGTCACACACAGCTTTCCTGCGCGGCTGGCTTTTCTTCGAAGGTGACTGCAGAGTGAAAGATGTCCCCCTGCCTTTGGGGGAGGAGGGGGGGGGGGGTTTCAGTGAACTTCCTAAACAAATACAGCTGTTGCAACACCTGAAGGTTTTACTGACGAGTCCTGAGGTTATTTCAACCAAATGCTTAGTGAGACGCTGTACCTACTGTATGTCCGAGCCACTCCTGTGGTGAAATCACCATCCCTCTCTCCATCACCAATGTAACTAATGCAGAGGCAATCTGTAATGTGTGGTGTGCTCTAGGCAGTAGCCCTGGGGCTTGGATGAAATGAAGGCAAAGAGGCTGTATTTTAGTGTTAGTGAGCCAAGCTGTAATTTAAATATTGTAATTTTAAGTGCTTTTTAAATTGCAAATAGGATTTCCAACCAATAAGTCAACAAGATGGCTCTTTTGAAGGTAAAAACCATGCGGCATTGGCTTTTTACATGTCGCAGTGCTTGTGGTTTACACCACGTTTCCTTGATAAAAGACGTTTTATGTACAGTACTGTGACAGATTCTGTCAAAAAGTTCATAACAATTACAGGAAACGATCCAGCCTTGCTAAAACAGACTGTGATGTAGATGTCGGAGTTGGAATCTGTAAAAGAACAAGCAGGGGTTAATTCCGTGCTGAGTGGTAGAAAGAAAGAATCACAATATTTTCTTGTTTCTTTCTCCTTTCTAGCAAGGGAATTAACCTCTACTTGCGACTTGGAGCATTAACAACACAACACAAACTGGGGCCTGTTTTGTGACCTGATACAAACGGGGCTTCAGGAGGAGCCTAACTAAATCATAATGACTTTGAAATGCTCAGAGGTGACCGAAGGAGACTAAGTGTTTTGTCGAAAAGCAGTCTTGGTCGTCCTTGAAAAAGTACAGAAAGGGTGCGGCCACCCCTCTCCCTGTCCCAGTTCCATCTTTGTGTGAGCATCGCCGGCAGCGGTATACAGCAGAATGAAGAAGTGCTGTATGACTGTGCTGTGTAACATAAGGGAAGAGTTCGAGGTGTTTCAGCCCCTTTTCTTAGCATCTTGTTTGAAGTAAATATTGCGAATTGCGTGCCAGTGACAGAATGGAAAGGACTTCAGTCTTGGCCGTGGAAAAGTGAAACAGATGCCTTCTAACCCTGTTAGCTACCCACTTCTAATCGGCTTACCTTGGCAGGAGTACGGGCGACTGGCTTCACAGAGAGGGTGTCAGGACTGCTCCTCCTCTGCGTTTCAGCCAGGCTGCAGTACTGCGTGAACAGCACATTTGGAGTATTATGGTGATAGCTTCTGCATAAATGTGTGTTCATTTGTGTGGCCATGCAAGCTCGGAATGCTAAGCTTCAGGAGGGAAAATCACGCTACCATTGAAAAGCAAGTTTAGGCACAAGTTAAACGACTGTAGGGCTGTCGGGTATTAAATGATTGTACATTTTAAGTTATAATGTATTAAACATTATAATGAAAACTTATCTTTTTGTGAAAGGAACATGTTTAGAAGTGACCCAGTTACACAGTTACTTCAGTTTTTGAGAAAAAAAAAACAACAAAACCATGAACACTGGACTGTTGCATGTGAAATGTTTACTTTTAAGGATTTTAAGGATTCAGTTCTTAAGTGTAAAGCAAAGCTTAACGCAAACTTTTGATATGACATACTGTATTAAACACACCTAGTCTTGTTCCACACTGATGGGTTTCCCACGCCGGTGTCCAACAGCAGAAACAGAGCAGTCCCGGCCTATGTTTAAAATAACCTTGACTTCTCTCTGGTAATGTCAATTAGCTCCTCAAACTCGCCTGCGAGCCGTCTGAAGCAGCGAATGTATTACCCTACGTCCCCAGGATTACTTATGCAAAACATCACACACCTAAAATGTCATTTAAAAAAATAAAAGGGAAATGTCTAGGAATCGTTACTTCATTCAAAACGCTCGCCTAGCACGATAAAATTCTACTGCAGTTTTGTCAGGTGTAAACTTTTTAGTTTTTCACCGCTGTAGATCTTGTCTTTCATCGTTGCGTTTCTGTCAGGCGTGAACATGGTTTGGGGAGTGTAGGTGGTTGTTGTTGTTGTTAAAACTGCGAGCTCCCCAGCGAGTGAAAAGCTGTGCATGAAGAGTAGTTCACAGAGAAGATGCTCACAGCTGTAACGGCCCGCCGTGTAAATTAGGGTACGTCTTCGTTTAAAAAAATGACTCCCACGTATTACGCCCTATTACGTACGACATACATACTTACCTCTGAGTTGACCAGCAAAGTTCAGTGCGGCTCTCATCTGTACGGTTGGTGCAGAGCTGTCCTGAGCCGAGATCCCCTCACCTCGCACCTCGCACGCTGCTCCCTCCCGCAGGTACAGGGCGCGTCTGAGGCACAACGTCCAACACACACCGCTGACCGCTGCTGCAAGTCCGCTGCCTTTGTTCAAAAAATATTGGAAAAACACGAATGAACTACGGGTTGGTGAGCGGAATACAAAACGGATAACGCGCATTTTAAAGTCTGTGTTTTCTTTTTTTTTCCCTAATTTAAAAAAAAAGCAAAATTATCAGAATTATATCGACTCTGAACGTATGTACTCAAAGACTTAATCGTTACAAGGTCTGGGTTCAAGGTGCAGATTCACGGAGTAAACGCTCGTGGAAAGGAATACGCTTGTAGATAAAGCTTTTAATTCATTAATTTCCTTCTGAAATATAACTGATACTGTACAGTTGGAAACCACGGGGTTTCCATTGCAAAGCTAAAACTTCACACCACAATCTTCCGCATGTCTGTCTCTGTACCTGTAGCTGTGTTTATACTTGAGGACGTTCTGTTTATCCCAACCCTTTGACAGCAATACGAGAAAAACTGAATAACCTGTCAGTTCTGTTCCTTTTACTGCGCTTTATTTCAGGTTATGATCCAAATACAAGCTGTTTTAAACACGCAAAGAGAGAGCGAGGATTCTTCTGAAGTAACAAAATAAGTTTGACTTGCTCCGTGCTGCAGTCTAAATGAAAGGGGGAGAAAACACACAAAGCTGAGAAAATCCACTTAAAGTTATATACAAAAACTAAGCCCCCTTTGAAATGAAAAGTAAACGGAGCCTGCAATGCTGGGGTAACAGAAAAGGCCCTGGAATGGAGTTTTCTTTCAGGCAAAAACCACCACTTGTTTGCGCTGCACCAAGGATAATCTTGTAGGTTCCACAAAGTTAAACAGCCGACCTGCTGCCAAGTCGGCATCTATTTAGATGAGGATGCAAACATGTTAATAGACGGAGTGGAAGATCGGCAGGCAGGGTCTTGTTCTGTTAATTGCTTTGTGGCATTTTGCACATGCCTTCTTGTTTAATTAAATACCTGGTTGGATCTGGGTTCTCTCAGATATATCACATTAAAATTGAGCAGAATCAGAGGATGTTGTTTCTCGGGTAATTTTGAATACTAAGGAGTGGGGAGCATAAAGTACTGTAGGAAGTTTCACTTAATGAAAAAATGTTATCTGTTATAAGTGTGCTGTTTTTGCCTGCAAGTTTTAGTTGGTTTTTTTTTGTCCAAAGTTATGTATAGTCTCTTTGTCTCTTTGGTCTCCTAGGGGGTATAATTGATGTTGTTCTAGTATAAGGTTTGGCAGTGTGACTTAAGGAACTGTTTCATTATCTGACTTTTAAAACTTGTACTTTTTGCATCTCCGGGATCTGATGCAGTACTGTGAAAACCGTGGAGTTTGTGGATACAATGTCCTTACTTTTCTTTTTAAAAACAATTAAAAACTTTGCAACAATAATTTGCAACAGTATTTTTATATCTGCAGTGGGCAGTACAGGTGTTATTTTGGATTTGTACAAAATATTCCTTATTATTACCGAACTCTTCTTTACTCTGGAGTGCTTACCTTTACCATGCTGTTGGTCTGTTAACATGCAGTCAGTCCCACCAGGTTCACATTGTTTTCATCACAACTGATGGTGACATTGGCAGCTCCCTCTACTGGCTCCAGTGAGCAGTTTCTCTTCTCCTCTCTCCTGTGTAACTAGTCCCAGGGACACCGGTGCTCCAAGGCCCTGTTTTCAAACTTGTTCTTTAGGCAGCATTTGAGTAAACCGATTAAAATTGCTTACTTTTAACAAACGCCGATGTCTCGCTTCCTTCTGAAGCTCATTTGCAATGCTGCAAACAAAACCTTTGAGCACTAGTTCCCACTGTTCGGCCAGCATGTGATTTATCTTCAGCTTGGCTGTTTCCTTCTGTTTTGTGCAGGTCTCTGTCACTGCTGAGGTATCGTCATCCATGATGGAGACTTCAGCACCGACTACGGCAGAGAAGAAAGATGCCAAGGGAGCAAGCATAGAAGGAAATGGCTTCCCAGAGCTGAGCAAAAAGCCCTCTCCTTCAGCCATAGCAAGAGGTAAGGTACATCGGTGTCTTAGAACTAGGACTTCTTCCTTTCCGTTTTTAACATTCTTTCCCCACTTCATTATTTGTGAGGTGTACCAAGGCTCAGAGCAGCTGACCCTTTGCCTGAAGCATGAGTGTCAGTGTCATTCACAGGAGGGGTGTGCCTCACAGCCAGCCAGCGAAGACTGTAAAAGAAACGCCAGCTTGATATTTAATGACACAACCTAAATATCTGTAAAAAATACATCCAGATCAGGATGTTCATGCTTTATCTCAGGAGACACTGGCCTGACAGTTGTGCCTTTAAGCGGATGTAGCTTACACTGCAGAACTGATGAGGATTATTATTTATATTAGGTGATAAAGTGGAGCATTGTGCTTAGATTTGCAATTTTTTTTTCCAGTCGTGCACAGGCAGTGCCACCAAATTGTTCTGTTTGTTTGCAGTTTTTCAGCGAACTATGTTCACACCACCGTTCGCTTGCTCCAGAAATACCACCGTCCTCTGAACTACAGTACATAAAATGCAAGACTTCACAGTACCTGCCTTCTCCTGCTAATTGTACAGCTGCACTGGACTTGGTTGGGAAACCTCAGCTAAGAGTTCGGGGGGACTGTGGTGTGGAATGAATAAGTGTTTCAAACAAAAAGTTTGGAGCTGTAACATTTTTAGAGGTGTGTTTATTTTGATACCAATCAAAACTAATTGGCACTTGTCCAATAAGAGTATAAAGACAGATGTTTTATACATCTGTATATAGTTGTATCTGTTGTAGATGTTTAAGAGATGTCAGTGAGTGCATGATGAAAGAATTGTGTAATGAGATTTAAAGACCTTGTTCTTACCTCTAGAGTATAAAAAGTAATAAATTACTTAAAACAGCTAGTAGTGGAGTATGCTGTGGATGGGCACTGACACAGAGTCCTTACAAGATTGACAAAGATGCTGACTGAAGGATACCTTTGAAATGGTAATCTGACTTCTGATATCATGGCCTTTTATAGTTTAATGAAGAGCTTGGTGGCCTGCCATGATATAGTAATAGTCATTAATTGTTTATTAGAGCAGTGGGTGAAATGGGACATCTAGTACTCACACTTATTATACCCAGAAATGAATCTTTCAAAACTTTTTTTTTAACTGTTCAGTAAAATTCTGTTTTTGTTTGTACACGATCTTTTAATAAAGACAATTAATATGTATACATATTAGAACACTGAATTATTAGTCATACTTGGTGACAGATCAGAGAATCATGCAGGAAGGTCTAATTATTTTTCATTTGTGTACATGGAGGGGCATTAATTACTGCTTGCATGTCATTCTTTATCTGCATCTAATGATCACTGTTTACTTGCTTCAGGATTCCCAGCACCTCTGGATCTACATCAGTTGTAATTATACTGTATGTGTGTAGCTTTCGGACACAGTGCTCAGAAATCGGGATGCAGTGGTGCAATTGCCAAAAATTAAAAGTAATAACGAGCGGCTGTAAGCTTTGTTTTTTAAGTGCTGTTTTTTTATACAAATCTAAAGCTACGTTTCCTTTTTTCTACAGAACTTGTGCTTGTCCAGTAAGAGTAAAAAAAAAAAACAGAGAGAATGCATGTTTAAGAGATGTCAGTGAGTGCATGATGAAAGAATTGTATAATAGGATTTAAAGACCTTGTTCTTACCTCCAGAGTATAAAAAGTAATAAATTACTTAAAACAGCTAGTAGTGGAGTGGACTGTTGGTGAGTGACATGTAGTCCATATGAGATTGATAAAGATGCTGACTGAAGAATACCTTTGAAATGGTAATCTGACTTCTGATATCATGGACTTTTGTAGTTTAATGAAGAGCTTGGTGGCCTGCCATGATATAGTAATAGTCATTAATTGTTTATTAGAGCAGTGGGTGAAATGGGACATCTGTTACCCACACAGGCTACTTATTCCCAAACAATCTTGCAATTTTTCTGGGTGAAATATACTGAAGCGTGAATAAAATGCAATACGAATGGATTTAATCCAGTGCTATAAACATAGATTTTAAAAAGCATGACAGGAAATATGAACATAATTACAGATAAAAGAAAGACAGTAAGTTTTTAGCATTAAATGATACTTAATATCAGAATGAAAGCATTCCAAGGCTGCTATGGGGAATAATCCAGTTGATCACTGATTGTGGCCGTGTTGAAGCACAGACCTGATCAGCCTCTGGACAGACGGCTGTGGGATGTTCTGCTACTCGTCCTGTGCAGCTGCTGACAGCTGGGGAACGTTGCCCAGTCATACTTGTCCCCTCTCAGCAGCGTTAGAGAGCTGGTCCTGGGTGTTCTTGGAAGTTATGCCTCTGCCAAATCATTTTTGTAGGGTCAGAAGCGCTGTTCCACTTCACCAATGATTTGCTGAGCAGTGAGGAAACTCTCAGTCTGCAGCAAACGGACTCTTGTGGTAAAGGAGTTTTCTCTGGTTGGTTTGGACAAAGCAACAGTCAGCATTCTGTCCACAGACAACCTTCCTAAAGGTCTGCCAAGAATAAAACAGCATTGAGCTGCGAATAAAATACTCTCCTCACGTTCTCCGCTGCCACTTCCACACAACATAAACATAAGAAGGTTTACAAGTGAGAGGAGGCAGTCCTGCTCATCCAGCTCGTCTGGTGGCTAGCAGCTGAGAGCTGTGAGGATCTCTTGAAGTAGCCAGGGTTTTCACTGCAACAGCATTTCTGGAAGCTTATCCCAGAGTCCCCAAGCCCTCTGGTATTCTCCGACCTGTACAAAACATTGATTTGTATCACTGAGCTCTTCATCCTCTGAGAATGTTAATGATATTTAGCGCCACCCGTAGGGGAATCCTGGTCACAGCCCACCAGGGATTTGACCCACACTCGCACCTTTTGACATCTGGATGGTAGAGCCCAGCCTCTACCAGTTGAGCCACTCAGAAGGTCCCCGTTATGTCTCCTGGGATTTTCTCGTGTCGCAGCTCCGGCGTCCTGGAAAGCGTTGGGCACGTTGATTGGACAGATATGATGGTCCTGAGCTGGTGTGGTGACCCTTCTGCCTTCCAGGGCGTGACCCACTCTTCACGGCCATGGGTTTCATGGTTTCTCGTGTTGTAGCTGAACATCTCATTTCTGGGCAGCTGCTCTTGCAGTCAGGCTGCCTTCAGCCCTGAAGACCGTGTCTTGTACAGGGACACCGTGTCTTTACAGTAATGCGGTTTACACCTCTTCTTATTCACTCACTCCAGACAGTTCTAACTCAATTCAGAAAGAAAACATTGAGCACCTAGCATTTAAAGAGATCCCAAGACGTGAGCTCAGTACTTCGTCGTCCTAAGGAACAATGATACTCCAACCTATTTGTTCCTTGTTTAAGATATGATATGAATATATGAATGAAGATATGAATGACTGAATGCTTTGGATATAAAAAAAGTCTGTGAAGTAATGCTTTAATTTGTTCAATAGATTTGCAAAGGTAAATGATTCTATACTCACAAGTTAATATCTGAATCAATTGTATTGAAAATGTAAGTCAGTTTTTCATTCTAACTTATAATAATGGAGATTCTTGTTGTTCTTAATAAATACTATTTTATAGGACTCAAAAAGATATTGAATGATTATTGGTTGAAATAAAGAAGTAGTTGAATGGCATGAATTATATTATTTTTAGAAAGTTAGCTTTTGTTGTGCTTAATTCTTGGGAGATTGTTTTTGTCTCAAGATATGTCAAACCATTTTCACCTGTGGAGTGTTGCAGAATTTTTTAGGGTTGTTTATTTTGCATGTTATGTTCAAGGTAACAGTTTCTCATGGGGAAAGAGAGAACTGTGGTCCACTTAGAGAGCAGTGTGCGACAATGCATGTAATAAGTGGGAAAGTTAAATAGGACGTCCTACTTTTGAATCACATTGGAGTGGCATTAATCCTTTTTAATGATGACAGTTTCCACCCAAGTCTGCAATTTCTCATAATTATCTTACTCATGAATTTCAACTATAATTATCATTTTTAATAGACAACAGGCCCCGACATCCCTGTTTTCTTGTAAATAAAATGTACTTTAATTTGAAGTTCAGAAAAAAAAAACTTAGCCAGACTGAAGTCTTGGTTTGGTGAAATAAAGGCCCTAGCAATGTGTTCTGTAATAAGGAAATGTAGGGAAGACTTCGGTGTGCTTGTTGTGCAGTGAGGCTGTGTTATGTGCATTGAGGTGTTACCGAAACATGGAATTTAAGGAAAAAAAGTTAAAATTCAGTAGGAATTATTTTTGTTGTCGTCTGTTTTAAATTCTGTATATACTGTAGCAGTTCCTTTTCGCCCAAAAGAGACTTTAATGCTGAGAAAGAAAAGCAGCTGTGAAACATTGTTTTCTCATCCCAAAGCATGTGGAAGTAACATGTTAGCTGCCATTTAAAAAAAAAGAATCCCAAAGAATGTAGGTAATCTGTGGGATTCTGCAATTGATTTACAGGAATCAGTAATATACATTCAGTGAGCTTTGCATGCTATTGCACTAATCAGAAAAAGAAAGATCAACATGTTTTAATCATATGTCTGAACATGCCAGGTGCCAAGGCTTTAAAATAGACTTTTGAACCTTCAGTGTCTGAGGAAAGAGCCCTTTATATCAGTTTCAAAACACTTAAATTTAAAAGGCTTTACTGAAAACTTTGTGCTAGTGTACTGCAGTATGATACATTTCTAGAGTGCTACTTCTTCATTGGAGTTTGACAGTCTTGCTTTAAAGTTTATGGAAGCACCTCTCCACATTCACGGCCTGCATTCCACTTCCTTATGGTTTTTACTGTCAAACTGGCAAAGGTTTTACGGTATGAAACTGTCTGTGATATAGATAGCATGGGAGTCTGTCTGTCAAGTACTCGGTGCTAAAGGCAAGCAGCCTGTTCTGTTTTTCATTACAGGGGATGTGTAGGAGACTTATGCAATTGCGTGTTGAGATGAAGGGGGTCACAGCAAACATCTGACCCAGGCCAGTTTCACCCCGGCAT